CAGAAATTTAATGTAGAAGATTCCTCATGATGTTTTCACTGGTTCGTTTCATCTAAACTGTATGAATTGTAGTTTTCTTTACCCAAGAAAAGTCCCTTTATATTTAAATACTTCATATTTACATCGAGGGGACCCTCTCTACGGAGGCCGCCATGTTTTTTACATTAATCCAGACTGGATAAACTAAACACCTTTTGAGTTTTTATGACAACTGAAGCTACCACAGGTTCTTTTTCATGTTTGGAAGGAGAGGGTGAGGTGAGGGGTGTTCAGCTGAAACATAAAATTTCAACACTAGATATCACAAAATTCTACACACTGTACCTTTAAGGCTCAATATGAAAGTACTATATAATACTATTATTGTATTGGCTTGTCACTGCAACAGTGTCCTCTCCAAGAAAGTAAATGACCTCCCATCTTTACGCCTTAAAAGACATTGGGCATTGAGCCAGAGCCTGTCTAAAAATGGGACAGGTTGTGCTGCAGAACTGAATCAATGCTGTTTTCAATTCACAGCAACGATGAAAATGTTTCTCTCTGTTGAACCCTGAATGTTCGTCCATACAGCACTGACACGTACACATCGGTGTAATTCATGACAATGGGCGATCGTCATCATGACAACCAATCAGTTTTTTACAACATAGCTGTCTTTCGTGGAAAAGTGCTATGCTAGCTGTCTGTGCAATCTAAAAATAAGTGCACAGGAAATCATCCTATTTGCATAACATGATTTGATTGGCTGGTTGCCTGTGCTGCTGCTAGAAGAGTTGAGCTTCTCTCAACAACGACCACATTGCTATGCAATCAAAGTGAAGCAACAGAACCATTATGATGTTCGACAACACCACATTCAAACTTAGTGAGCGGCGTCTCTTTAGAACCCTCCAGTGTGGTCGTTTGAGTGCTCCTTAAGGCCTTAATATGCGATCTGATTGTTTTCTCCATTGTAAGAGAGGATGATTCACAGTATCTGCTGGAGTATCTGCCTGTAGAACAAGTGAAAAAGTTGACCATGGGCATATAAGACTTAAAATATGTTGTTATGATCGGCTGCAAAACAATATGTGGACCAGCATTCAGGATAAATAAATCAGAATTTTGACCATGATCTCCAAATCAAAACATATTGTCTTTGTGTGACCTTGAAGGCCTTCATAAGTTTTATACAGTATACTAAAAACAAAAATGTCTCTGCTCTCATAACATCCAGCCTCCCTGATCTTCTTCAGCAGTAGTTTTTCTGTTGTGCATCGTTTTAGTCTCTCTGAAGGCAATTGTTACTCCACTCTGTTCACTCATGACACTATGAATGAGATTCAGACTCTGCCTCATGTGGCCAGTTGCTGTATAAGGTTATATTGGTTTGTTTCACAAGTTCCAAAACTGATGTCACAGAGCCCATGCTGTTCCACATTGTTCTTTTGAAGCGTGCTGATCCCTTGATCCTCATCCCTTCTTCCTTTTCATTTGAGTCCACACCCACTTTAAGATGTTTTACCTGACTTAGGTTGTATCATTAATCTCTTATGCAAAGCCTTGCGATGAATGTTGTAATTTTCTTGTTTTGAAATGAATTAAAACAGAGTGAAGATTTTGAATCTGCTATTAAAGGTTTTTTGGTTCTTTTGAGAAAGATGAGATGACGTGTGGTGGGGCCCTAGTGCAGGAAGGCTAAAGGGACTCAATGTGTGAATGTAATTTTATAAAGAAATTAAACATTTTAAGCTGAATCAAACCTTTTCTTCCTGATGTGTTGTCAATCAGCAGCTATTGCACATTAAAATGTTTTCCATAGCACCAGTTCTCTCCAAATTGTTCCGTAATTCCTAATGTTTATACACACATTTTTGTGCTAAGAACACACAAACTTAACCCAAATATTGTATTGACACCTTCTCCAATAATTTATATCAAGAGGGGTTGCATGTTAGGAAGTCAAAACAAATATATGGTGTTATAGCATTTTCTTAAGACAGACATTTTGTGATTGTCCTCCCAAGCGTCAGTTTTTTTTTCCAAAATGCCTAAAACCTTTTAACTAACAGAAGTGGCTGAGAAGAAATCCCAATATGCAGCATCTAAGAACACAACGCCTACAAATTCCAACAACGTCCCAGGAGATCACTAACAGTGGAAAATAAATGAACACAGAGTAAGCATGCAGTGTAGCATCACAGTACAAAAATACTAAAAGTAATAAAGAATATTTTATTTGAAATAGTGGAAATTGACAGCATTCACAAATATACATGTAACTATGTTCAAGTAACTGTATTGCACATTGGATGGGTGGGTATTGCACATGAATGGGTATTGCACATCCACTGTGCAATATATTTATTACTGTGCCATAATCACTGGATTATGGCACAGTAATAAATATATTGCACAGTGGATGGATGAGTATTGCACATTATTGCTATGTCATGATTAATTGCAAGGTATGTATAGTATGGTTATTGCACAGTATATGATTAATAAATATTTATATTTATTGCACATTGGGTGGGGATAAAGTCTKTGRGGGATTTTTTTTTTTTTTTGGTTGGGTCAGATTGTAAATCAGTGATGCATCTGTAGCGCCTGCCAGAGGGCAGCAGGTCAAACAGTTCAAAGCCAGGATGTGAACTGTCTTTGGTGATGTTTTGTGCTGTGCCGAGGCATCGGGAGGAGTAAATGTCCATCAGGGAGGGGAAAGGGCAGCCTATGATCTTCTGTGCTGTCTTGGCGACCCTCTGAAGCCTCCCCCTGTCAGCCTCAGTGCAGCTTCCATTTTTATGCTGTGATTTTACAAACGCGCATGGCTCCGCATGCAGAAAGGACAATTGACATGCAGACTGAAGGAGCTGGTTAACCCACTCTATCCCCTGAGCCAAAGCCATTATAATTAAGTTCATATTCTGTATATTTAAAAACTAGGCTATTTATAAACATACATGTGTAAAATATGGTTCGAAATGTCAAAATTGGGTTCAAAGATTTGAAGATCTGAAATATATGCTTTGTCTGTTTCAGAATAGAACATACAGGATGCTCCTTTCATCACATTATACATCAGTTTACTGCCAAGTTAGGTAACTGTTTTAAGGTCTTGACCTTCTATGTAAAGTGCCTTGAGATAATGTATATTAATGATATGGCGCTATACAAATAAATTTGAATTTAATTGAATTACCCTGCCAATGGATACAACTCGGACATTCAGCGAAAAGGTCTTCAATTACCAAGACAACATTGTTCGCTTTGGAATTAAAGCCACTTTGAAAACCCACAACACCTTTTTGGGCTCATTTTCTAAAATGTGTGTCCTTTTCAAGAGTTTCTCACATGATGTCTTGTAGCTCAAGCAAAGATGATTTTTTATTTACACTCTGTGGATTGTCATCAGACAGAAGCTCAGTAAAGCTTTAGCGATGTAAAACTACCTTGGATTCTTCGAGTATTCTCTATCACACACAGTTTGGGGTTCAGTATCTTGCCCAAGGACACTTGGAATGGATAAAACTTGGGTTGACTTGCCAACCCTCTTGTTTGTAGATGATCAGCTTTGCCTCCTGAGCAACAGCCATACGTATACAGTTACAAAGAAGCTCCAGGTTACAACTCTGACGTGCCAGCAAACACATTGGTGAGTATTTTGAGCAGTAACAGTAGTCACAATAAAATCCGTTTCACTCCTGTCAAACAACAAATGGAAATGTTTGGGAAAGAGCAAATTATTTTTTTACTTGATCCTGATTACAGAGAGTTTTCTCTCAGGCTCAAATAAAAACCACTCTGAGATTATACCCAGCAAACATTAAGATGTTGGAAAATTAGAACTGAACCAGGTTGCGACATAATCGAGCATTGAATTTGGACAATTGCTTGTCTGGTTTCGAGCTGGTTCTTAAATACTGCGACAGGTGTAAGGTGAGTGCTGAATAAGATGCAGGTTTTGAAGAGAGTTGGCCAGCAGCACACATTATACAGGACCGGACCAGGGACCAGGTGGAGAACAAACCTACAGCCAAAGATCCTGTTGAAAGTTAGGGGGTGAATTTACATTCACTTGCATATCATTTAAAACGTGTCAGGTGAAAGGTTATTGTTGTTGTCAGTCCCCGGGTGGATGCCTCTCTCTCTCTCTTTGGCTTGCTCTTTTTCTATTTCTCTGTCTGTCTCTCTCTCTATTTCTCTCTCACTCTCTGTGTCTG